AAACCCTAAACCCTGAAAAGGACGACGTCTTTGGAGCTCGGGCCAGGGTTTTCAGCTTTAGAACGGCCTTCAACTAATGTAGGGGCCTTCATAGGTAGAATAGGGTTCCTTTAAAGGGATCCTTAAAAGGGATAAGGGTTCTATAATGTAGAGGCCTTAATAATTAGAATAGGGCTTGGGGGCTCCCTCAAAGGGTTCCTTACAGGGCTCTATAGGGCTACTATAAGGGTTTAGGGTTTATGGTTTAGGGGCCTCAATAATTGGAATACGGCTTTGGGGCCCATTGTACTATACTTATAACAAGGAACCCCCAAAATAGCGTAGGTAATAATTGTTTGGGCCCCTATATTAACTCCCAACTCCCTCTGAATCCGAAGAAGATGAACGTCGGAACAGCTCTACTGCAAGGTCGTTACAGGGTTTAGTTAGCTCAAAGAGTACGTTGTTCTAGGGCTTCCATTCGGGCTACTACGCTTGATGATACAAACCCTGCATTACCTTAAGGACCCTAAACTATGGGAAATATGGTATATTCCTTATTATGGGTGATGCAGGAGTTATATCATCAACCATATTCCAATGCCCTTTAATTAACGAATATACCTCAAACCATTGTATATTAAGGCCCCTAGAATTTAAGGTAGATTCCTCGATTCAGGGTTGGCCTCTCTGGGTTACACGGGCTCCATGCGGTGTACTTCGAAGGGACCTGAATAATTAGAATAGCGTGTCGGGGTATAGCAGACTACAACTATAATAAGGAACCCCCCAAAGTAGTATAGGTAATTATGGTATAATAAGGAACCCTCCCCCCAAAGTAGTATAGGTAATTATATAGGCCCCCCCAAAACAAACTTCGAAGGGACCCTCCGCCCCCCCCCCCCCAAAGCGAAGCCACAGCCCAGTTGCAAGCGCTTGGAGCTGCTGTCGACTGAGGGACAACGCTTCCTTGGAGCGTGCCCGATTCTGTAATGAGTCAATGGACCCTAAACCCTAAACCCCAACCTAAACCCCTACACCCCAAAACCCTAAACCCTAAACCCAAAAACCTCTACACCTCAAAACCCAAACCCTAAACCCCAAAACCCTAAACCCTAAACCCAAAGACACCAAGCAGTAGATGCCTTGACCCAAGAGCGTATTGTAGGGACTTTAATGGTTAGAATAGGTTTGTGGGGGTATAGTATACTATAATCATAATAAGGAAAGGAACCCTAAGGAATAATATTGGTAACTATTTCGGCTCCTACATGAAACTCCAACTCCCTGGATCCTTTACGCAAACCCCCCTAACCCTACACCCTAAACTCCAAAACAGTCCCCTAGATCCTGAACAGCTGCACACCTAACTGTCCACCATGTTAACCCCAGACCCAAGCCCCTAAAGCCCTAGACCCCGAATCCCCTAACAACCCTAACAACCCTAACAACCCTAACAACCATAACAACCCTAACAACCCTAAACCCTAAACCCTAAACCCTAAACCATAAGCCCTCAACCTTTTCGTTTACGTAGGGTTTAAGGGCCCAACACCTCGAATCCCAAATCTCATCTTGAAGATGGCGGCAAAGTCAATTCGAAGCCCAAAGTCAGGGTTTAGGACTTAGGGTTTAGGGTTTAGGGTTTAGGGTTTAGGGTTTAGGACTTAGGGAAGTGTCCGGGAAGTTTAGGGTGTAGGGCTTAGGGAAGTTTAAGGATCGGGAAGTTTACAGAAGTTTAGGGTTTAGGCAAGTCCAAATGAGGGTTTCGGCCTCGGGTGCAGGGTTTAGGCTTTTAGGGTTTCTGGGTATTTAGGGTTTAGGGTTTAGGGTTTAGGGTTTAGGGTTTAGGGTTTAGGGGTATGGGTATTTACGGTTTAGGGTTTAGGGTTTAGGGTTTCTCAACCTGAGCTATGGCATAGGCCGATGCCATGGCCTCTAAGCAAGAGCCTTGACTATGCATGGCTTGGAGGGAATAGGGGTTGAGGATTTAGGGTTTAGGGGTTCAGGGGTTTAGGGTTTAGGGTTTAGGGTTTAGGGTTTAGGGTTTAGGGTTTAGGGGTTTAGGGTTCTGCGGGCTTACGCAAGACCTCTGCGGACCATCCAAGCGTGAATCGATAATCCATCGTCGTAGAAGCACCATCATAAACAGAGCCACGGTTTAGGGTTTAGGCAACCACGACGACTTTGTCACGCACCCTCAAGCTTCCACCATGAACACAACAAGTTCTAGGCGGTCAACTAACGGAGGAAAAATCAGCAAGCGAAAGCAACAGAACAACCACCATCGCAACAGCAGACTCGCGCAGCAAACGTAAATACATCCCGCCACAAAACCCGAAAACCCTAGACCCTAAACCCTAAACCTTCATGGCTAAAAAACTCTCAACACACCGAACCCAAACATTTAAACTACTCTTGCAACCCAAGCCCCTAAATCCAAAACCCGAAACCTAAAACCCCAAAGCCCAAAACGCTTAAACACTTGTAGGGGCCATTATAATTCGAATAGGGTTTTGGGGTATATTATACTATAACTATAATAAGGAACCCCCAAAATATGGGCATGATGGTATGTTCCTTGTTATGGGTAATGCAGGATTTATACCATCAACCGTAGTATCCCCTATGCTAGTCTCTTTCGCCTTTGAGCTGCAGGCCCTGACAAACCCTAGACCCTAAACCCAAGGGTTAGGGTTCTAGGGTTTAGGAATTCCTAAAACCCCAACGCCCTAAAAACCTAAGGGTTAGGGTTTTAGGGGTTAGGAATTCCTAAAACCCTAAGGCCTTAAAAACCTAAGAGTTAGGGTTTTAGGGGTTAGGAATTCCTAAAACCCTAAGGCCCCTAACCCTAAACCCCAAACCCTAAACCCCCAACCCCAAACCCCAAACCTTCGCCCTGGAGACCCCGGAACCCTAAGCCCAAATCTCTAACCCTTCTTTAGGGGCCTTAATAATTAGAATCGGGTTTTGGCGGCTTCTTTAAAGGATTCCTTCAAGGGTTCCATAAGGGCTACTATAAGGGTTTGGGGTGTAGGGGCCTTGATAATTTAACTAGGGTTGTGGGGGCTCCTTGTGACAATAATAGTACAATATACCCCCCAAAACCTATTCTACTTATGAAGGCCCTACATTAAATCCTTAGCCAAGTCTTTTGCCTCCGAGCTGCAGGCTGTCCAGCGAAGCTACAGTTGACGCGGAACTCTTTGTCGAGACCGTGCATTCCTTTTCTGGGGTTTAGGGTTTAGGGTCGAGGGGTTTAGGTTAAGGGTTTAGGGCTTTGGGTTGAGGGGATTTAGGGCTTAGGGCTTAAGGGATTTAGGGTTTAGGGTTTGAGGGATTCCTTTTTCAGAGTTCATGGTTTTTGAGGATTTAAGGGCATTTTTGGTTTCGAATCAGGGATTAGGGTTCCTTTTCTGACTTTGTATGGTTTGTTTGGGGGGTGTATACGACTTCACACGGCGACTTCACACGGCGACTTAAGGATGTTTGCTTTGGTATTTGTGGTGGGTTTGACAGTATGTGGATGCCCACAGGGGGTTTTTACACATACATGTGTATGTATATATATATATATATACTGAAAGGTTTGTCTGTAGGGACTCGTTCCTCAGTGAAGGAACTTCATTTAGCTTACCAGAATCGGAAGGTTTAGGGTTTCGGTCTTGAGGGTTTAGGGTTCAGGGTGTTCTTGTACTGCAAGGGGTTTAGGTTTTCGGGCTGGGGGCTTTTATTTAAAGCAATGCAGCTTCGGGTTTAGGGTTCAGGCGTGTAGGGTTTCGTGTTGAGGGTTTAGGATAAACCCTAAACCCCAAACCATTCCCCGGGCTCCCTGCCAGCCCAAAGCCCCTCAACCCCTCATCTCTTCGTAGAAGACTCCGGGTTCAGGGTTCAGGGGTCTAGGGGTTTAGGGGCTTAGGGGTTTAGGGGTTTAGGGGTTTAGGGGTTTAGGGGCTTAGGGTTTGGGGGTTTAGGGGCTTAGGGTTTGGGGGTTTAGGGTTTAGGGTTCAGAAATCGTGGCCCTCTCCAGACAGAGGCAAAGACTGGCTGTCGCAACTGGAACCTGCAACCCTCCTTGAGTCAATCGCATCGCATCGTGTTACATCGCACCGTCGCACCGTGTCGCATCATGTCGCCTTCTATCGCAGTGCACATTTCTGTTTAGAGGAGAGCTCATAAATAATGTTATACACAGCCGATAGTTTTACTAAATGTCATGGTGAGCCAAATAGCTCTCTCTCTCTCTCTCTCTCTCTATTTTCCGTATTATTGTCTATGTATCCCCCTAAACCCTAAACCCTAAACTGCCAAGGTTCACTATCCACAGACTTCGCCGGCGCCGTCCGGATCTTTCGGCCGCAGAACTCCATTCTGCTCAAGATCATAGACCTCGGCTTGCGGGCTGCTGGGATCTGGGAGGTTTCAATGGCATAGTGTGCAGGATGTGTGTGTGCGTGTGTGTTGGTTTTTGTTGGGCTTAACCCTAAACCCTAAACCCTAAAGCCTAAACCCTAAACCCCTAAACCCCTAAACCCCTAAACCCCTAAACCCTAAACCCTAAACCCTAAACCCTAAACCCTAAAGACTAAACTTTGAGCCCTAAACCTTAAACCCCAAACCCGAAATCCTACACTGTAGACCTGAAGTTCAGAATTCGGGTTTCAGAGGCTTGGGCTAAGAGCATCGTAGCGCTCGGGGCTGGGTTTTAAGGTTTAGGATCTAGGGTTTAGGGCTTTAAGGTTTGGGATCTAGGGTTTAAGGCTTTAGGTTTTAGGGTTTAGGGTTTAGGGCTTAGGGTTTAGGGTTTAGGGTCGAGGGTTTAGGGCTTTAGGGTTTAAGGTCTAGGTTTAGGGCCTGGGGTTTAGGGTTTAGGGTCTAGGGCTCCACAAGTGAAGCCTCGAGGAAGCCGGAACAGATCTCAACACGGTTTAGGGTTTAGGGGTTTAGGGTTTAGGGTTTAGGGTTTAGGGTCTCAACAACATCCGAGGCACGTCATCTTTGACTATTGACAACGCTGCTCTCCCTCTGAGCCGCTGCGTCTGCAGGTTACAGCTTGAGGGCTTTAGGATTTAGGGTTTAAGGTTACTTGAGGGATCATGGAACTTAGCAAGTATGGCTATAAGTATCTGAATTGGGGTTATGTGTGTTTCTAAGTATAACTACCCTAACTCTAAGCCTAGCTACTAAGTCGCATGATCCCTTAAGTAAGGATTTCAGGCCGGAAGGCTTTAGGGCTTCGATGGATTCAGGGTTTTCAGGTGTGCGGTCTGCCCATCTCAGACAAGAACTCTACTTCAAAGGCCTAACCTACCCTCAGCCTGCAGCTCAGAGGTACCCTCGAAGAAAAGCCCAAGCCCTAAACCCTAAACCCTAAACCCTAAACCTGTGAAAAGATGGTGCATGGAATCGCCGCATCTCTTCAGGGAAGGCTACGAGACAATCCCCTTGGGTCATGTATGCTGCATGTAAAGAAACCGCAGCTAAAGTGAAGGCAACAGCAGTGACAAAAAACTTGTACATGCCGTCATTGCAGACTTCACGTTTCGCGTGTACTGTGATGTGAGTGGAAAAAGAGAACGCTCGGCGCCATGGCAGGCATGCTTAGCGAACAGCAAGCTCCGACTGATGGTTTTGATCATCAACAGGTTATGAGCCCAATACGCTCAAGCTGCGGAGGTGCTACCGAATGGTGTGCAGACCTCGACGATGTCGTCGGGGGCGTTGGGCGCAGAGTCGGGGTATGCATCCGGCTCTCGCGACGATGAGGGCCTC